TGCGCATGTGCGTGTCCTGTGTGTATGCGTGCCTGTGTGTGTGTAATTGTTTTTCTTTTTTTTTATTTGCCACTCAATCAATCAATCAGCCAACTAGTCTTAAATAATCTGCAAATTAATCAATCCATCGAATCAGTCAATCAATCAATCAATCAATCAATCTGGTTTTCCTTTTTTTCACCCAAATTTTTTTAAAAAAAAGTTCCTTTTTTTCTTTTCTTTTTTAGTCCCGGGGTGTGCCCCCCACACCCCCACCATCCCCTCCGCCGTCAGATTCTCGATCGGCCCACAGAAAGTCCGCGAAAAGGGGCTGAACGGTCATTCAAACGGCCCGTATCAGCGCTTCCGGGGGGGCGTTCGTACGGGCCTTCCCAGCGTCAGCGTGAGTGGGCCGTCCCCTTCCTACCGGAAGACACAGCTTTGGAGAGACCAATCCACTCCRCACTGGATGAYGAGAATACACAGCGGACCAATTAGCACACAAATACCGAAAATAGAATTGAAATACAAAARTAAAAACAATTCGGGTCACCGTCTCTCCCCACGTGAATCAACAGGACCYATTTCCAAAAAGAATCCYAACCAAGTTAAGGACACCCGCGGACAAATTATTTACAGAGTTTCATGATTAACTTTCCACCAAGTATTTGGGAGTCTTCTTCTTCCTCCSTCTTCCTCAAGCTCCAGCTATGGTGCTTGCRAGCACCCAGCCTAATAGAATCAAGCCTGCCAATCGCCACACACCCTCGGTGACCCTCCTSAATCCAACACCCCTCTCTGCACCCCTCCGGAAGCCCATTGCAGATGAAGCGTCCACTTAGAGGGGACGGAAGCGCAGCTCCCAAGAAGAAGAAGAAGAAGAAGAAGAAGAAGAAGAAGCAGAAGAAGAAGAAGAAGAAGAAGAAGAGAACCAACTCGATTAAGATGGAATCAAGGAAGGCCTGCCACATCGAAGACGACTGCGAAGAGCTGAAGCTAATCCTCCCATTTTGCGCATATCTTGTTCATCAGACATTGCATGAATCACAGAATGCTTCTGGCAGCTCCGCCAACCCCAACGGCAGACCAAGATGAGGAAGCGCATATCCAGCGCTGGACAGGGTGACACTGCCCAGCGCTCGCACAGGGGAAGCTACCTGTCTCCAGCTATGGTTGCCAGCTCCATGTAGAGAACGAACCCCCGCTCTCATGAGAATAGCGCAGAGCCCCAAGCACGCGTCCAACAGCAGTCCCGTGAAAAAAGAAGGAAAAAAAAAAAAAAAAAAGGAACAAAAAGACCCGAGCTACCTCGCCAGCCAGACTTCTCAAGGTTTCTACGTCACAGCCTCTAAGGGCCAGATTCCACTTGCAAGGACGAAGGGAACAACTGTCTGAATCTGGAGGTGTTCTACGCAGAGATGCAGAAAAGCAGATCAATTACAGTTTTCCGCAGCTCGCCGCAAGCACGTCCAGATTCAGACACTSATTCCAATCCTCTTTGCCAGTGGGACCTGGCCCTAAGGCTCTACCTCTGACAGACAGCAAACAACGGCCCTATGGCCCGACCCAAAACCAAGCAGAAAAAGACAAAAGTAGAATGCCTCTTCAGCGGATTAGAACGCCCTAATTTAAAAAAAAAAAAAAAAAAACACCTAATAATAAAAGAGAGGACCCCCAGTAAGTGCCAGGTATAGCGATCGAACCCCGGCTCCAAAAGAGGTCAAAACGTAGAGACTTCAAAACTAAACTCGTCAGACGAGGGGTCCCACTTCAGGAAAAAAAAAAAAAAAAAAAGGCGGTCCCCCAGTAAAGGGACAAGTCGGGGGATCGAGCCCAATCCAGCTCAAAATATAACAAAACTACTCTCCTTCGTTATACAGCCTGCTGGACTCGCAATCTGCCGAGCTAAAAAAAAAAAAAATACATCACTACMTCACCTCTTCAAGCAAAAGAGGCTACTTACTGCAACTGTGATTACCGAAATTCACTATGACAASGAGTAGCTCTAATCGAATATTATAGTTAATTTACGTGGAGTAGTTCACCGAATTGGAGTAGAACGTTCTATTCCCCTATTCATTCGAGTAGAACGTTCTATTCCCCTATTATATTCGAGTAGAACGTTCTATTCCCCTATTCATTAGAGTAGAACGTTCGTTCTATTCCCCTATTCATTAGAGTAGAACGTTCTATCCCCCTATTCATTGGCGTAAGGTAGCGACTCTTCATCAAGTAATAATAAGACATAATTAAGTCTAAAATAAGGAAAAGTAAAGCTGGACTAATTACGTTTCCTGATTTTGGGGRRAAARAAAAAAAAGAGGAGATTCGCAACCAAATCAACACTGTGAATCAATTGCTTCGTCTACCGCCAGCCAGCCAGAATCTGGTCATCAACACRTCCAGATTCAGACACTTCAAGTGAAAAAATGCAACCGCTGAAAGAGGCGGCCAGATACTCGCTATCTGATTCAATCGAAGTGCATCTGGCTCGCACGACTCAACGACTASATACAATGCATTTTACCTCAACAATTACAACACCCTTCAATTTGAATGGGGAATCATCCTCTCTACCTTAATCAATCAATCAACTACATACCCTACAATGGGCAATCATCAAATCATCCCTTCTTGCTAATTACTAATCAACAACTACTCCCCCTTTAATTGGCAATAATCATCCTTTCTTCCAAAATACTCCTCGAGGGCAACTCGTAGCCAATCTCCCTCCAGCAGATCTTCTCAGACGGAGTCTTCCTCGGTGTGYTGAGGAATCAGTGACGATACTTCACATCTTACTAGATGCCCGTCCGTCGAGACAAAACGCTTGCACTCGATTGCACCCCGTAATTTTTACACRAGCGTCCCGATATCTTAGATGCCTGTCGGACATTTTGCCACCGTCCRAGGCAAACGAGTGCAAACGTTTTGTCGCGGGGGGATCTATAACTTTTCTGCCTGTTCTTCCGCCGCGGTCTCTAGCTTTGCCTCAAATCTCGCTCTTTCTCCCTTCCTCTCGTCAGTGTCGTTGTCGTCTGTTACACGTACTAAACAGCATCGTTCTCGATGATACGTGGAGAATGCGTTCAATCTCCGTCACTCTTGGAGACGTCCTCT